GATACAGCCGTGAAAATTTTTATTTTCGGTAGGTCGGTTTGATGTCGATACTTTCATAATATTGTAGACCGGCTTGAAAGTCAAATATACATATTACATAGATATCAACACAATAGACATGTATGTAGATACTCTTTGAAAAATAACCACTCCATTTTATATTATTCTATTGCAAGTTATACTTGTAGTGGACATCTATTTCCAATTCTTTACAAGCTTCTTGTGAGTTAAGTGTTTAAGTTCAGAGATATCAAATTCATATTCATTCTTGATATCTCACTATCTTTTTATCGACTTTTATAGAAAAAGATGCCTCCTCATAGGAATCCAAGGCATAACAATGAACCGGAAGCACCGACGCCACCTCGACCACCACCCCCTCAATTCGATGCTGCCATGTTCCAACCGGCAGTCACGGCAGCTGTAGCGGCTGCCTTATCTCATATCAATGCTCCTGGTACTAGTGGGTCGGGAGCTGATCCACGTCCTTCTAACCTTGTCCAGGGTCATGAGCACTCGAGAGAGTGCACTTATAAAGACTTCTCGAATTCCAAACCCAGGACCTTTAATGGAACTGGAGGAGTGATGGTTTTAAGGCAATGGATTGAGAAGATAGAAGAAGTCTTTAAAATTTGCTCTTGTCCAGAGGGTAGCAAAGTTAAATTTGCTGCCTTTACTTTCTTAGATAGAGCCCTAACATGGAGGAATGGCCATGTTAAGTCACTAACTTTGATAGTGGCTAATACTATAAGTTGGGTGAACCTAAAAACCATGTTGATGCGGGAATACTGCCCGCGAGGGGAAATTCAGAAACAGGAACAAGAACTCTGGGGTATTACTATGGTCGGTGCCGACATAACGACTTACACGAATCGATTCTGTGACTTGGCGTTTCTGTGTCCGGAGATGGTTGCTCCAGAAAGAAAAAAGATTGAAAGGTATATTTGGGGAATGTCGCCCCAGATACAAGCAAGTGTCATTGCATCTAAACCTGTCACCTTTGACAGTGCCAAGGAACTGGCACAGTCACTTATTGACCATGGAAACCATCAAAACTCTGTGGTTACTGCCCCAGAACAACCTAGGGAGAACAACAACAACAGCAAGAAGAAGGGTTGGAACAAAAGGAAGGGAAAATCTCCTCTTGAACCTTCAAAGAAGCAACAAATAGTGGCAGTCCGTGCTACTACTGTGCCTACTACCATACCTACAACTGCACCTGCTGTTGCCCGTAACTACCTACCACCAACTAAACCCTATGCCGGTAACCTCCCTAAATGCAACAAGCGCAATTTTGCAACACACCGGAAATTATCCTGAAATGCAGTGCCGTAACTGCAACAGGAAAGGGCATACTGCCCGATTCTGTAGAACACCACCTCAACCCCTTAACCAAGTATATGCCGCTGGAGTAAGTCGAGCATGCTACTAATGCGGTGATGTGGGGCATTTCAAGAGAGATTGTCCAAAAGCTGGAAATGCCGGTGGGGTTGGGAGAATTCTAGCACTAGGTCACGAAGAAGCAGTGGCAGACCCTGCAGTGGTCACGGGTATGTTCCTTCTCAACAATACTTATGCATGCATTCTTTTTTTATTGTGGTGCCGAGAGGAGCTTCGTGAGCCATAACTTTAAAATCTACTAAATCAGAACTCCCAACCACTAAATAAAACTTTCATAGTAGAAATGGCTAATGGGAAATCAGAATCCACCAACGATATATACATAGGATGTATCCTTACCTTAAATGACTTGTCTTTCCCAATTGACCTTATGTTGGTCTCTATCAAAAGTTTTGACATCAGAATAGGTATGGATTGGTTGCGCCCCAACCATGCAGACATCCTATGCTATGAAAGAGCTATTCATTTGAATTTCCCAACTAACGAAACTCTAATTATCTACGGTGACAAACACGGAATGAACCTTCAGATCATTTCTTGCATCAAGGCACATAAATACCTTCGCAAGGAGTATTGTGCATTCCTAGCTCATGTGGTAGAAAAAAATCAAGAAGTGAAAGACATCTCAAGCATTCCTGAGGTCTGCAACTTTCCCGATGTATTTCCTGATGATCTTCCAGGGGTGCCTCCCGAACGACAAGTCGAATTCCGAATCGACTTAATCCGTGGAGCTAACCCTGTAGCCAAATCCCCCTATCGTCTTGCACCTTCTAAAATGCAGGAATTATCCTGCCAACTTAACGAACTCCTAAGCAAAGGTTTCATAAGACCAAGCTTCTCACCTTGGGGAGCACCGGTTTTGTTCGTAAAGAAGAAGGATGGATCCTTCCGCATGTGTATAGACTACCGTGAGCTGAATAAAATTACCATCAAGAATCGATACCCTCTACCTCGCATTGACGATCTGTTCGACCAAATTCAAGGGGAGAACTACTACTCGAAGATAGACTTAAGATCCGGATATCACCAGTTACGAATTTTGGAGGAAGACGTTACCAAAACCGCGTTCAGAACTCGTTATGGTCATTACGAGTTTATAGTGATGACATTCGGATTGACGAATGCACCTACAGTGTTCATGGACCTAATGAACAGAAGTGTCGTCAATTCTTGGAAAAATTTGTTATAGTCTTCATTGATGATATCCTTATCTACTCAAAGAGCAAAGAGGAACATGGCCAACATCCTCGCATGAGACACACCGGAGACACCCCTCGCACACCCCTCGCACGCCCCTCGCACCCGCTCCTTCACACGTGTCTTCTTTCCATTAGACCGAGGGTTAGACCAATCCAAGCCAGCCAGCAGCGAGCCTCCGGTCCGAAGAGTCCCCCTCGCCTCCCCATCTGTCCAACGCGTGTCACCCTCGCGCAGCTTCGGGTCCGAACCTTCGGGCTATATATATAGCATGCGAGAGTTCCGAAGATTTTTCACTTTTTCACCCTAAATTTCACACTCTTTGACATTCTCCACTCCCCTAAGCTCATATACAACCCCTAAAGCCCCGGTATCAAGACTCGAGCCCGAAGTAAGCCTTGAAGCCCCGAAATTCTTGAGAATTCAACCTCTCTCCTGTCAAAACTCTATCCGAATTACCACCTATCAAGTGAGTTCATACCCCCGTATTTTCATAATTTCTACTGTTTTAAGGGGGGGAATACAATTACAACACAACAACTTTGTGTTATAAATAAATGATTTCAAATCACGATAAAACGATTTTAAAGCATCAAAAATACTCCAAATATTGAACTCTTTTATAAACTTATATTTTTACCAAATACACATATTTGTGTGTGTGTATATATATATATATATATATATATTAATATAAATAAGATTTAAAAGGCTTAGGACTAATAATTCATTCTAGGTACTTTTCCTTGTTTGGATGTGGACTTATAGTACCAGTTATTTGTCCGAAGGTTGTTTAAATTTTACTTATATATAAAATTGTATATGTATATAAATATATAAGTTATCTCATCAGTTTAAATACCCTTTGTAATATGTTGATAAAAGGATTACATGCAAAAATAGTTATTTACCAATTCATAAAGTACATATAAATTATAATAGGTATAATTTATAATACATAGAGCAATACTTCATGATTTAAGTATACATGAATACACTGTTTTACATGAAACAAGGGTTTTAATTCAAAACAAATCAAGGGTTTACACTTGTCAAATACATGTTCGTAAATACTAATTCAAGAACATACTATCAATCATTTATTTCAGAATGATTGGGTTTTCATAACTAATATACATGTAACGTTTATATGCTTTTTATGAGACATCCAATTCAGGTTGTTTAATTCATTTTAGACAACCAAAGTAAATCCCTGACATTATAACCAGAATCTCTAGTCCGGGGATCGAAACAAGTTGTGTGTAGATCTATAATGGGATTGACAACCCCGCACTCAGGCTGCTGGCTACAGTCAGGCATACACGCCAATGAGTGGCAATTGTTGTCAACATTTTAAGCGCTCACAAGGCGTTTGTTTCAGGCGTTCATGTCTTAGTATGGTTATTATAACTCATTAAAAAGATATTAACAACACATTAGTGTATAAACAACTAAAAGTTAGTACATCGTCAAAGTACTCGTTTACAAAATACAAAGTACAATGGTATACTACAGTTTTCAATAACAGCTGGCGAAGCCAGGCACACACTCAGTTACAAGTTTCACAAATACATTGGTTTACAAATAGGACGGTTTTATGGGAATTTCTCACATACCACAAAAAATATGGGATTTTCTAGAACAGTTCTCATATTCAAAATACAAAGACACTGATGCAAACATAAAGACTTATGTACTCACTCAACTTATTGTTGATACTCTCTTTTCAAATTACTTGTATTCTCAGGGAAATAATAACAGGTACTCCCCGAGATTTTTGAGAAGATGGATCCATTATGAGTCTTATCTTCTTCTTTTGTATAACTGTTTTGGTTTCAATATACAATGATTGAACACATGTAAATATTATACTTTTAAATACAATGGTTGTTTGTACTTTGATTAGTATGATGCATGTGTTGTGGTACTACAAATGAAGTCCTCCACCCCCATACGTTTCCGCCGTTTGGTTTGGGGGTGTGACATTCATAGGCTCGCCTGATTCTAGCTCTAGAATTTTTGTGTCTTTTCGGTACAATAGTCTGCCTGTCAAGAAACCTTTTGAAATTTGAGGCACTGGGATCTTCAGAGGGATTATGGAATGGGGCCCTTGATAGTTCAGCAAGATCCACTTTGGTCCATGAGTTAAATTTATGGGTGCTCTTGTAATACTCAGTAATGCCTAAGTTTCTTTTCACAACCCACATATTTTTCACAAGATCAAAGGCCCACATTCTAATTCCTGATCTATCTCTGAACTCATCACCAAATTTTCTTTTCTTTAGACCAGTCACAGTCAGAACAGGGTCTTTTGCCTTGCGATTCTCATTTGAATTTTTCATGAATAGTAAACCTTCGCATTTGTTGGCTATTATGGTTCTTTTTCCTTGTTTGATCATTATTCAGGCTCTTCTTCCTTCCGACTCCTTTTCAAATCTATTGACAATAGTGGTTGTTCTAGGAGCAGGTAGATCGACAGGAAGGTCGTCAGAAACAGACTGTGAGTGGGCTGTGGGAGGATCATTGATTCCATGTGGCTGTTGGAAAACAGCCTTGACTTTTTCACCAAATGCATCATACATAATGTTATTTAGATTGAAGTAGCTAGTTGTCACTGAACCAAGATTAGTCTATAGATATTTAATCTATTTTGTCTTCTCCTCATCCTTTGCTCTGAGATGTTCAATGTAAGAAGTGAGTCGATCCATCTGAATGGTCTTCTCAATGAGTTCTTGACAGAGAATCCCAATTTCTTCACCAAGATCGGAAGTGGAAGATTTGTCGTCACACGTGCACTACTCTCTTAATGATATTCCGTTGCCACGAGAGGAGGTTGAACTGTGTTTTTCCAGGTGTTTTACCAACCTTATATAAGCTTCATCTAATGAAGGTCTGGTGGGAGAGTATTCTGGTATGGATGATGAGCCACCAGTTTCAAACATAGTGCTCGGAACTTCATCAGATAATTTTGATGAAGAGTAAGCAGTGGTAGTAGTGATTGTGGAGAGAACTTGAGGAGCACTACCCACAGTGGGTACCTCCAGACTTGCAAAAGATTGACTTGTTTCCATGGAAGACTGAGAGGTTTGGGGCTGAGTTGAGTCAGAAACAATTGGAGCAGATGTTGAGATGGATGACACAAAGGGAGAAATCTCTGATGTCACCTCTCCTTGGCTTGATGCAACCTCCAGGGCCTTTGATGTAAAGAGGAAAATTTTAAGAACATTTCCTTCTTCTCTAGTCTTGGTTGCTGAAGAAGAAACTTCATTGACTTTATTAGGACAGCTGCTGGGGATTCCAAGAAACAGACCGAATTCTTCATCATCAAGATCAAATTCTATATTTGTCGGGATGTCATCACTAATCCCTGTAAAATCAATTTCCTTCAAAAACTCTATGTCATCATAACGATCATCATCATCACCCTCTTGAGCAGATAGTGTTTCATTTTCTTTTTGATGATCATGTTCCTCAGCCACAGCGGCTGAAGGAGAATCATGAACCTCCTCAATTTTCTGGCTCAGAAGTTGAATGAACAATGTCTTCAGATTCCATGGGGATGGACTGCTCTCCTGATTCTGATCGATCACATTCTTCAAAAAATCCAAATTTTATCAACGGGAACTTTCCTTCAAACACAAATTTCCAACCTCTCTTTTGTTTCATTAGCCCAAAAGCACTTGGACCTACGGATTTGAGATCCAAGGCTTCATTACCTCTCCGCGGCTCAGGATGCATCACATTGAAGATGATTTGCAAAAATCTTGGGTACATCAAGAATTTATCCCTCTTGCTCCCTTCAAGGTTTAGAACCAGCTCATGCATTATGAACTTGGAGAAGTTGAACTCAAATCCTGCAGCTAAGGCTGCGATTGCTCCTGTGTTAGCCAGGGAGATTTCATTTGCACCTGATCTCCTGCCGAAAACACAGCTCACAAACACGTGGGCCAGATATTTCCAACAAGGAGGAAGCAACTTCTTGATGGTAGGGGGAAATGTTCCCTCGTACCCCATGTGTTCTAAGACATCCTGGGTTTGATGAATGTCAATCTCCATAGTACTCAGATCTATCGTCTATTTGGAGAGATTCCCGAATAATGTTCTCTGACACTTGAACTTTCTTTTCTTCAATTTTCGCTTCAATGAACTTTTCACCCTGATTATTCGTTTTCACAACTTCGATCCTCCAGAAATCCTTGATCAGATTCTGATAAATTACAGTGCATGTGGTTAAAGCATGGACCAAGCAAGACTTCTTCAAACCATCAACAATGAACTTTAAGTCATTGTGAGCTGCAAGAGGGTCTTCAAGAAAAATGGCAGAGTTGTGGACCTTAGCAAATTCCATGTCTCCCATCTTAATCTGAAAATAAACACAAGTAATCATTAGGGCAAAATTAATTTTGGAAATGGTGCAAGCGCACACAAAAGTGCACACAGCCGCACACGCTCAACCGCTCACAAGTTAATGTAACCGTACATGGTTCAGCCGCACAAGCCCGTGTGCGGCCGCACACACCATGTGCGGTCGCACTTGCACACGAAACGATTGACACTTCGATTAAACAGCAAATGATAAATGATTTTTCATAAAAAAAAACTCGATTTTTGAGCTGTGTTCATGAGAATTACCAGGTAAGAGCTTTGATTTCAAGAAAATTAGTGGAATATTCAAAGAGTTTAGAGAGAGAGACTGTGTGTGTGCGGTTGAGAGAAAAATGAGAATGGAAACAGTGCTGGTGAAAGTCTCACCGCACACACCCTATATATACATAAAAAAATTTCATTTCCTCCCCTTCACCATTTTAACAATTAAAACCGAGGCTCATACTCAACCTTTTTCAAAAAAAACAAACCACTTTGAGGATTAAATGACTAAAAATTTATTATTTTTATGGATTTTTTTAAAAAAAATAAAATAAAATAAAATCTAAAAGAAAACTTATTAACTAAAATAAAAATAAAAATAAAAATAGAATAGACTAAAATATAATAAAATGGAAATACTATTAACGACAAAGAATTAAATTTTTAATTTTAATCCTATATAAATTGTTTTAACCTTTTGAGATGAGGGATCAAAGTTGTTAGACAATCGTTGTTCATTTATCAGTTTCTTCTCTTTCATGAATAGATTTGGTCGATCGCCGGTATTGTGGTCCACTTAAACACGAAAAATTTTGTGACAAATCTGGCATGCTATAAGAGACAAGACAGCTTGCCCTAAGTTACTAGATAAAATTTCTAAAGACCATCTATCTGACGACGACCAAGGATATTGTTGTCCACCTAAATTGAACAGCGAGATCTATATACAATCTTTGAGTGTTCGATTTTAATTGTACTGGAACATGTTTCCCGCTTCCTGATATGCCCCAGTAATCAAGAACTTCCAAAGTACTCCTTACATCGGGTGAGCAGACAATCATTAGGAGAGAAGATAGATTCATATTATTATCACTTATAGTTTTAGAGGGATTGAGAAGTAGAAGGTTGCACATGTTGTGTACCAGGTCGCACTGTCAGTCGCGCGAAGGAGACAACATATGGCTAACAAATAAGAGGAATTTCATATATATATATATATATATATATATATATATATATATATAATATGCAGAGAAACAGAGTTGCATATGTTACAGTGCAGGTCGGATCTCGAATCACGTAGAGGAGGTAACATATGACTAATAGACAGATAGAAAGAGAAAACAATTTTCTACAGACCTAATTCATCGGAATTTTCCAGTCACCCCGTCAATACCGGAATTAAGGACAGAATCCGAACATCGAGGAAAAGTTAAACCACGGTTCCAGATACAGGTTCATTTAATGTGACGAGTAGATTCCCATATATATCTCCCTGCTCAACCTATCCAAGCATCGTATTCTCAGGCTAAACGGAACTATCTAGGTCAGGATTTATCAAGTCTCTAGATTCCTTAAGTTCATCTGCACCTAGTCAAGTCCGTTAAATTCTTCGTGCCTACCAGCGCATCGAACACAAAGCCTAGACAATCTGGTTTTGGTACTTTACACAGACTCAGATTGCCCGTTATCACTTGTTAATATCACTTCCCAAACCAACACAGATATATATTTTTTTTTATTTTTTTTGTTTTTCTAATGTTTTTGGATTTTCTAATTTTGTAATGTTTTTGGATTTTCTAATTTTTTTAATGTTTTTGGATTTTCTAATTTTTCTCCCCCTAAATTTGTGCATAAAATAAAAATAATTAAAAAATGCGCAAATTTATCCTAAACTAAACACCAAAAAAATTAATCCTCAAAACGGATCATTTTTAGAAAATTAACCAGCACATAAACGGCTTGGTGAACAGATCCGCTACATTATTATCATAGCGGACTTGTTCGAGCCGAATGAGCGAATGCTCATAACATTCTCTAATAAAATGAATTTTGATGTCGATGTGCTTGGTTTTTGAGTACTGGACCGGGTGTTTTGCCATTTGGATCCCAGCCTTATTATCACAGAAAAGAGGGGTTTCTTGAAAATTCAAATCGTAGTCCAACAACTGATGTTGGATCCAGATGACTTGAGAACAACATGCTGACGCAGCGATATACTCCGCTTCTGTTGTTGAGGTGGAAACGGTATGTTGCTTGCTGCACTGCCATGAAACCAATCTATCAACCAGAAATTAGCATCCTACTGAAGTCGATTTTCTGTCAAGCTCACACCCACCATAGTTGCTGTCTGCAAAAGCATAAAGATCAAATTCTGGATTTTTCGGATACCAAAGACCCAGTTTTGAGCACCCTTTGAGATACCGAAAAATCCGTTTAACAGCAATTAAATGAGATAGTTTAGGATTAGCCTGGTAGCGAGCACATTGACAGACCACAAACGTAACGTCTGTGCGACTGGCATTCAGATACATGAATGATCTGATCATTGATCGATAATGCATCTGATCTACGGATTCACCCTCTAGATCAGGGGTCAGTAGAGGTCTTTCTGCCATGGGTGTAAGAGCAGGTTTCACGTCTCGGAACCCGAACTTTTCTAGCACATCATCCACATACTTTGCTTGATGAATAAGGATTCCGGATGAAGATTGTTGGACCTGAAGCCCCAGAAATGTGGTCATCTCTCCAAGCAAACTCATCTCAAACCTCTTCTTCATCACTGCTTCGAACTCTTTGCAAAGTTGTTGGCTTTTTAACCCGAAAATAATGTCGTCCACATAGATTTGAACAAGAATTTGATCTGGACCAACATGTTTGATGAATAAGGTTTGATCAATGGTGTCTCGGGAATAGCCGTGGTTGAGCAAATGCTGAGTTAGGGTAGCATGCCAAGCTCTAGGAGCTTGTTGCAGCCCATACAAAGCTTTGTCTAACTTGTAAACATGGTTGGCAAGTTTTGAGTTAATGAAACCGGGTAGTTGGTCAACGTAAATCTCCTCCTTGACCTTGTCGTACAAGAAATCCATCTTGACATCCATTTGGTATACGGTGAAGTTCATATAGGAAGTATATGCAAGGAATATACGAATGGCTTCCAAGCGAGCGACCGGAGCATAAACTTCCGTATAATCAAGACGCTCAACTTGCTGAAATCCTCGAACCACTAATCTTGCCTTGTTTTGCACAATTACACCTTATTCATCTTGTTATTCCGAAAGACCCATCGGGTGTCAAGAGATTTCTTTCCTTTTGGCAGCTCCACCAACTTCCAAACCCCAAGCTTCTCGAATTGATTCAGTTCATCATGCATGGTGTCAACCCAGCTGGGCTCATTCATAGCCATTTCGACATTTTTGGGCTCAATCTAAGAAATAAAGCAAGAATATACACACGTATTAACATCTCCACTCTAACTTCACGTTTGAACACCTTCGCCCAGCTGGCCAATGACGTTCTCTATTGGATGGTCGCGCTGAATGCGTGCAGGAATCTCGTAGCTGATGTCATTAATAGACACTGGAAGAGTATGAATGTTAATTGCTCCATCATTTGTTGTGTGATCCACAGTAGATGAACAAGGTTCGTTCGGATGATCTATTACAAACTCTTCAGTAATACTTTCTAGAAAGAGAAGTTCCATTAAATTTGAAGTTACAGTGGATGTCTCACCGTTCATGAACTCTCTTTCCACCGGAGTTAGAGGAGTAGCAATAGCATCAGGAGAAGGTTGTTGAGGAGAAAACTCAGAAGATTCTGTGTGAACGGAGGGCGCCATTGGAGGATCAAAAGAAACTAGTGGTGGTTGATAGACAACTTTGTCTTCTTCATCTTCAATAATGATCTTCGAATTTGACGTAGATCCTGTTTGATTATCTGAAGACACATTGAATGATTTGAAAAGAGATGTGTAGTCAAATAGCCAATCAGGACCCACTCTTGCATCTGTCTCATTTTCTTCGAGACAATGAACATCGAAAGATTCTACGATCTGTTTTGTTTTCTTGTTGTAAACCCTGTAAGAAGTTCAAACAGCATATCCAACAAAGTAACAGTCATCGGCTTTTGCATCGAATTTGGGGTTGGATTCCAAGTGGAGAAGGGTGCAAGGGCAGCCAAATACTCAAAAATGGATGACAGATAGCTTGTGTCTGTATAGAATTTCGTAAGGTGTCTTCATTCTGACTTTGTTGATTAGTACGGGATTCTGAACATAGCACGCGATGTTAATCACCTCTGGCCAGAAGAACACAGGAATCTTGGAGTCACAAAGCATCGTCCTTGTGGCATCTTTTAGAGTTCGATTCCTGCGTTCGGTGACCCCGTTTTGCTGAGGTGTTCAAACATAAATAAAGTGACGCACAATCCCTTTCTCAGCGCAAAAATGATCAAGAATAGTGTTTTTGAATTGTATTCCATTATCAGTACGCAGTGCTTTCACTCGATTGTTGGTTTGATTTTCAATCATCACAATGAATCATTTGATGAGGTCAGCGATCCCAGCATTTTTGGACAGAAAGAAAACCCAAGTGAACCGAGAGTAATCGCTTATCACAACTAGGCAATATAAGTTGCGATTGATGCTG